GAAAGATCAAGTATATTTCCTTTTATATAGATAGGTGCTTCTTTTTCTCTAATGTATTTTAGTTCAACCAGATCTATCTAAACTACTAACTTGTTTTTTTTATAAAGATTTTCTGATCTAGGTTACTATGTTTTATGTATAACATTAAAATCGCCTCCAATAAAATACTCTGGGAACAATTATAATTTGGTGATGTACGATAGTATTTGTTTTGTTTATAATTATTGATATATATTTAATATAGAATACCTGTTTATATCTATCTAGAGTATATTGCGACTTTTGATTGACTATCTCTGTTGGGTTCACAGTTTTGTTCCTTTTCTGATATATATTAATACTCGGGGTTATTTTGCTTTTTTTTATTTAGAGAATATTCTTGTTTATAAGTTCATTGACACATATAAAATCCATTTGGGATATATTTTGGTTTTTGTAAATAGGAATATAAAGGGTTCTTGCACATATAGAATATCTGATTTGTCTTCAAATACTATTTGTAATAAAGTATTGTAAACCTCTGATATTCTGTTTATGTTTGTCTAATAGACTGTTAGATCCCGTATTCTGGGCTATTAATAACTATACACATCATTTTGATACATTGGGTATCTACTCATATACATTGGGTTGGGGGTTCTCTCCCATTTCGATATTCTATTGGTTATTGACTAGGACCTCCTCATTAAGATTTGTGTTTATAAAAGGTTTCTATCTTAGTTGGTTTGTTGTTGCTGTACCTCTCTTGAATTATATTGCTATTAGACTGTTCCCGCTTTTTTTGTATATCTTAATCTATTCTCCCCAGTGTTTTTTAAGTATTAGAATAGATATAGATATAGATATAATTATATCTGGGATAAACCCTTTTTTAGAATCGTTTATAACTTCTGATTGGTGAGTATTACTATTTCTATTACCAGAGCCAGTTTTTGTATAGCCTTGAATTATAATTTGGTAAATATTATAACTTTATTATCTATTACCTTAGGTATTGTTGGACAATTCTGATATTCTACTGCAAAAGGTCCAAAACAATTAGTATATTATACTTTTGCTATACAGTTGGGTCCTTATAAACCTTTGTATATATCTTTTCAAATACTATAGTTTGCATAGTAGATAAGCCTAGTGTATCTTGTTGGGTTACACCAGCTTTGATAGCCAATATTGTATCAGATTATAATAGGTTTTGCCTTAATCTCCTGTATTAATTCACTAGCGTTAAAGAGTCTAAAACCACAGATTGATTCGAGAAAGGATATTATCTATATGATTGTGCTATTGTAAAGATTAACTCCATATCGGGAAGATCTATAGCTAACTAGGGATTGGCCTATCTATACCTATACCTCCGCTTCTACATAACTTACAATATCAGCTAAGAATCTATCTAATATATATATTGATACTAGGATTCCAGGGATTATATAGTTATATTATATTACCGATTGGTACACTTACATACCTCAGCTGATTCAAAGAATAATTTTCTTATTCTCTTATATAAGAAGTAGTTTATAAATTGTTGAATTCTTTGATATAATAGTCTATTCTATCTTAATAACAGATATAGTGAGGACATCTGCTAATATTAGACTTGTGATTATCTCAACAAAAGCGTTTCTTAATGTATATAGGACTGGTTGGCTGATCCGGGCTACAAAGCTGATAGCTATTAATAGCTTGTGATTTGTACTTTGGGTGGTTTGTATTGTCTATTGTTTAGTGTATACATTATTAAATAAAGCTTTTAATAGGACCTTTTGAGGTATGGGTAGATTTATTCAACCCGCCCTGTTTTGACTTGTTTTGGGGATCTTGAGGATTCCTATGTAGGTTTTGATAATGATTTGTATCTTTAGAGAAGCTGTATTTCTTATTGCTGGTAATGTATACGATAGATTTGACAATAAGTTGGGTCTATCGTTAATAATGAATGTAAGGATTTCTATAACTCTAATATTCAGTTTCCTAACTACAGTTTATTTGTCCCCCGCAACAAAGAAATCGATATATCTATCGATTGTATCTATCAGACTGATTATAATCTTTCGCTAAATTCTTTCAATATATTTATACTTAACAAATTTAGTCTTAAAGACTTTTATCACTAGGTTGATGTTGTTGGTATATACTTTACTTCCCAGTTTGAAGACTAGTAGTATCTCATTGATAAAAGTATGCTATCTTCTTTTAAAGTGGTTTTTGAGATTGGAGGGTGTCTCTAGAATCTGCGGATTGATATAATTCACGTTTTCCAGATCGATAATCTTGGGCGATGCTATATAAAACATTATATTGATTTGTAGAGAGTGGTATGTATTGGATATATTGTTATGATTCTGTAGAGTTTGAATTCAGACCGAAATTCAATTTCTGGCGATCAGAAATTTTTCTTTGGAATATTGTGTTTGGGTGTGAAATCATAGGAATGCCTTCAGCATAACCATATATCGTATAACAATCATCTAATTGTAGCATCACTGAAAGATAGTTATAGTCAAAGGAGGATAAAGTAACAATTCGTCTAAACACTGAGGATAGGTATAACTTTGAAGGGGTAAAACATGACAACCAATCTAAACTACTGGAAGAGGGGGTATAAGTACCCTCTCTAGACTATCACGTGACTCTAATACTATTGATTGGTTTCCTCACATTATTAAAACAAAGCTTTTTGAAAACAATAAAACAAAATTCTTTTATATATTATACAAAGATTTAAACTTCCCTGATACAGCTTTATTACTTCTATTAAAAATAAAGTCTTTAGATTCTATAAAATCCCGATCAGAAACCTTTGATTATACTCCAAGTTGAGCTAAAGCCTTTGTATTAAATACTTTTTATAATCTATTATATAATCTCTTTAGCATTGAATTACTTCTAACCATTAACCTTAATTCAAAACTATACTTCCTAAATATTACAGTTTTACTCAAAAAGTCCTTGCTATTTTTATTAAATATAAAGAGAATCTCTAAGTTTAATAAATCTAGTATTTTATATAGAAAACTATATTTATTGAAATTAGTATTAGTGATATATTTGATAGTTTTGGATATTAGTTCTAAAAGAAAATAAATCTTTGTTTTCTCTATATTTATAAAGATATTTTCTTTCTTTGATATAATTCGAAATTCGAATTTCTTTAATATTTGATCTGGAAAGTTGGTGTTGGTATCAACGGGAACACCTTTCAGATCTATGATGGTGGAAAGTCCGACGGGTGTTCAGTGTTGATATCAATAAAAAGCTTGTTGATTACTATTCTACATGATGGAGACTATATGTGTATTGAAGCCCTTTCGCTAAGGCTTGCCCTAGCCCTTCGATAGTACGGTGCCAGTACTCCGGTACAGTAGATGACTATACCGCCAGTTGGGTTTTTATATAAATACCTTATATTCAAACATTCTGAATTTAGAGAAATCTAATAATCTGTTTCTCAAAGCCTCCATTAAAGTAATTACTATAGATAAAAGATTAATAATATTGAATAATAAAGTTTTTATTAATAATCTATTTATTAATTATATAATATATAATATATAATATTGTAATTTCCTACTGGTTTCCTGAAATTTTAGATTAAACAAATAGTTTCCTTAACCTTTACTCAACGATATCGATTTTCTTTTTAATAATACTATTTAAAGAATATTTCCCTGATAGAAAAGATTCAAAGAGAAGCCTATTTTTAATTAATTTTTTCTAAAAGAATATATTGAATTCACCTCTTTCATTATTAATATATATAATAACTATCTTTTCTCTAATCTCCTTTTTCAAAAACATTTATGAAATCTATAATAATTAAAACAATTATTAAGGCTTTTTATTTTTAAGATATCGAATCCAAGAATATTTTATTATATCGTCCATTACAATAAGAAAGTATTTGTTATCTATTGGAAAAATAGAGAATTTACTAGATAGATTTATATAAAGATAATAAATCTTTTCTATTGTTCTGAATATATAACTTTTATTAAAGGTTTTGTTCATTCGTTTTAAAAAACAAGATTCATATATCCTATAACCCTAGACAATTTGTCTTTTGCTGAATCTTAGTTTTATTAAACTCCTTTTAAGCTTTTCTATTTGATTATAATCTAAATAACCAAATCGCTTATATATAAGCTTTACAAATGTCACGGGTTCACTACACGTGACTACCTGCACCCACCTGCACCTGTCATGTGCACACTACCCGTTCTTAGTTAGATCGAATAGATGCCTTAGGCATCTATTCACCATATAGTCGGCGTCGCTCCGCGTGCCTCCTTCTCTCCTTGTCGAATATCATACATCTTACCTAGTTCCTACTAGTACCCGTACCAGCCCCGTGATAATAACATTTAATCTAATGAATCAATAATACAAGTATTATAAATATTGAATATCAATTGATATAACGTTATAAGATTTTATATTAAAATATTTTATCAGAATTTAAAAGTTTTAATATTCTTTTCGATTAAATAAATACTTTATATTTCCTTAATAAATATAAGATTTTAAACCTTTCATCAGAATTTAAATATTTCAATTCTTATTTTTTATTAGTAAACCTAAAGTTCAATACAAAATTCTGCTCTATACAATTTTTTAAACGAATTTCACTATAGGAACACTATACAAATGATTGTTAAACAAATTGTATAAGGTAGAAATAAATTTTCAGAGTTATTGCCAAATGATAGTTGCAGGCCTTGGTACACGGCCCCATGACGTTAGTGCATGATAGTTTCTGCCGGGCGGTAAACTAGTGATTAGTCCTAATTTAGTACTTTGCCGCATCAATTCATATGCGAGCAGAAGTCGCAAATATACCTAGGTAAGTAAATTTCATGTTCCTCCTGTAACTCCGCATTCGGATCATTGTGTCCTGTTCGTCAACATTGCGTCGCAAGCAGTAGTATCTAAACCTCATCGCATCGTGCGCAAATCACAAATACTTAATAGAAGCGGTATCTTGGATGGTTGAAAAGAAGATGGCTCCCACCCAACCCTTACTGTCGTCTAAGGACATTGAGAAACCTAAACTAAGAAGAATAGGAAAGAGTACTCTTCCCTCGTTTCCCCTTATTATTGAACAAGGCTCACTTTGTATGCGCAGACCAAAGAATTCAAAAGCGACCCCTCCTCCACCCCGCAATCGCGTCACCCCGCTCCTCTTCCGAGAAAGTCGTCTACGTCTCTCCCAGTTCACCATTCATCGCAATTGTAAAGCGGGTCCGCAAATATCTCGATGGCGCGGAATTTCGCGCTGGACCTACAATTTTGCCTAGTACGGACAGGGAACTCATGAAAGAAATCGAAGAGGGCATCAAACATACTAGAATGGGAAAGAAAGCTGGGAGTGGCATTGGTGGCGAGGTCCTAATGAAAGGAACAGGAAAAGCAATTGAGAAAACCCTGATGTTGGCGAATTGGTGGCAGCAACAAGAAGGTGTGAGGGTGGTGGTTAGGACGAAGAGTGTAGCTGCCGTGGATGATATTGTTGGGGTTGATGGGGAGGATGAGGGTGTGGGAGAAAGTGAGAGTAGAATCAGGAGGGTTAGTGTGTTAGAAGTGGCAGTTTCCTATATTTGACGGAAAATTTTGATTCAATGCATGGTCAGTGGTTCGAGACACGGAATTATGGACGGACTGGATCTTATTGGATTCCATGGCCTGAACTGTTTGGGTATGGAGTTTAAGTGCGGTGTTATGGCATATTATAAACAGGCGTAATGGTGTGGAATGTCTGGATGTTCATGCGCTAAATACCAACACAAAATGTACATAAATAGAGTTTGATGTAGATTATTTGAATGAATATAAAATTATACACCCAAGGGACATTGTCCCGATGTCTGTCGTGCGTTTAACTCTAAGCTGTGCATCACTAGAATTTCTTGTGGGTAGATTATGAAAGAGGCTAAATCGCAGGTGAGCTTGATTGAGTTTGACCCATTGTGCTGCAAAGCTCAAATACAGAGTCTACATGTATTTGAGCAAATTGTCAATCAAACAGGGAGTGTCGTCTTTCAAGGACAGAGACATCAAACCTTATCAAAGTTCTCAATTTAGTCTCATTTAATGATGAAGAAGTATTTTTCAGTACCTGTTGATATCTGTTTTCTGTTCTCGCTTATTGTCGAGGGGGTTGAAGGGGGTCGAGAAGCATGCAATGAAGTTTGATTTGGCACCTCTTTTTATTTGCTTTGAGGATCTAATTGATTTAATGAATATGTAAATCTGAATGGTCTTTAACCTTGTTGTCTTGTACCGGGACTTTCTGTATCAGTTCATTTTTTGAAGATAAATCTGTCTGGGCTCATATGCATAACCTTCCAACCTTCACCTCCAACCACATTTGACTTCATTCTGAATTTATTTTGAATGAACTGATCTTTTTCAATAACCAAAAACCCAATTGCTATTGCAGAGCTTTTTAAATCCATTTATCAACAAAGGGAGCCAAGGCAAAATGCAATTACAAGCACCTGTCACTCATCATGGTAAATCCCCACAAGTTTGTCAATATATCTGTCTAACTGTGTTTGCACAGGGTTGGAGAAAGTGAACATAAGCATGTTTAGCAGAAAGGTAGATATTGATCGAGCAATCCTGGATGGTAATGGAGACATTGATGCTAATTTTCCTGATGGTAAATACTCCCTTCCCACAAAACTTTCCTTGATCATGAACAGTGTATCAATATCTTTGTCTAATTGCATTTTTATAGGAAGAGAAAGATTGAATTTAGACTGTGTTGGTAGGGTTCCATTGATCCCCGAAGATTCTATCACTCAAGGTGAAACAAATTTGCTCTTTCATAGTTCACCCATTGGAGGCAGGGCAATGACTATGACACGTGCTGGTAAAGAAGTAATGTGTTCAGGAGATTTGGTGGAATTTATCGAGGAAATTCTTCCAAACCTGAAGGGAATGAAAAAGATGCTCGCAGCTTCGAAGAAAGACCACCAAGAGGTTCAAGAATTCGTCTCTTTAGTTGAAGATCTCATGCAAAGGGCGAAAGATACTTCGATCAAAAATGCATCAAGAGTTGCTACATGGACTTATTGGCAAGCGAAAATCGATGAAGAGAGAGCAGAAAAGGGAACCATCGTCACAAAGAAGCAAGCAGCTATTGATGAGTCCACACGAAGTCTTGCGGAATACATTCGTGAGTGCCGTCGTCAATTCATAAACTGTGCATTACTTACACATTTTCCAGCTCAGGCACTTGCTGAAATGGGCGTTATCTCGCAAGAAGATTTGGACGAGATTTTGAACGATATTTAGAGTATAAGCAAGTCTATTCAAATGAGAATCATGGTAGGAGAGAGAGAGGTTGAGCGGAGCCATATGTACCAATGGTTAGGATGGAGAAGAATAATACATTTCATAAAGACCTAGCATCGCCAGAGAGAGATACTCAATGTGGTCTACCCCATTCGTTGATATGTCCTATCCGTCGATATCGACTAGAGAGGTAGTTCTATTTGTCGATATCGATGGGATAGATTAATTTATCCGAATAGAATATTCTATTAATGAATGGGATGTATATACAAAATTTGAAATTCGGTATTGATGAATGGGATGATTCTATTTATTGATATCGGCGGATAAAATATATACAAAATTTGAAATTTGAAGATATTATTCTTGTTATTTAATCAATATAAGATGTTAATAATAAAAATAATAGAAACGGTAAAGTATCGTCTAAACTCACCTAGCTAAGTTTAGAGCGAATCGCGTTTGGACGAAGTCAAACCATATACAATCTAGTTTTAACAGTGATATACAAATATAGAATCAAAATGAATTTTACTTTCTAGGTTCTTCCAATCATATAATCAGTTCAGCCTTCTGACATGATCTGCAGCTAGACCAATGCAGTTCGCTCCAAACTCAGTTAGGTGAGTTTAGACGGTACTCTCATATGTACCACCAAAAGTGAATTACATTAATCTCATGCCACGAAAATCATAACTACTTTACTCTTGCGCCACTTAGATTCTATGATAGAATCTTTGGTAGAATCTATGGTAGAAAGGGTAGAATCTATGGTGAACTGTGGAAGGGTGACATCTAGTATGGTAGGAGAGTGGAAGGTAGGATCTATGGGAGGGGGTTACTAGGGTGGAATCTATAGTAGAAGATTAGAATCTTTAATAAAAGAATAGAATCTATAAAATAAGTCTACTACTGTCACCGCGTAGAGACTAATCCCCTTCCGGGGACTAGCCGGAAAAGTGTGCATGTGAAAGGATACTCTGTATCCTTTCATATCCTTTGTTCTTTATTAGTTAGTTCGTACTGAAATCTATAAAGAACTACCCTTATACCACTATGGCAGTGGTATGAGTTCAGTTCTGTACAAACTATACCCTAACTGTAGTACTGATACTATCCAGCCTATTCCCTGCTTGTGATCCCTCACAACTATCCTACTTTTCGGCCACCCCCCCTTTTGGGCCACCCTTTCACACCAAAAACAGTGATTTTTGACTTTTATAACTTTCCCAATAATGAATGTAATTAAATAAAATTTTAATGATGAATTCTTTATATAGTTATTAGCTCAGTTACAGATTTTCAGAATTTTAACGATTTTATATACGATTTGTATACAAATTAAAATATTCAATAACTTTTCAATAAAAATAATCAAAAATAATTTGTTAATTTTAATAAGATATTTGATATTCAAGAATTATAAAACAAACTTTCTATTTTGAATTATTTTATATATTTAAACTTTTATTAAGAATAATCGTTTTTTATCAAAATATTTTGTGAAAATATCAAATATTTTGAATAAATGATAAATCATCAATTTTTATTTCAAATAAATTGATTTTCTATAATGTAAAATCTGATAATACTATATAAAAACTATAAATTTATTTTTGTTTCTTTTTGTTAAAAAGTTATTAGGATTTTTAGAATATTTTGAAATTTGTATACAAATTGTGAGGGATCACAAGCAGGGAATAGGCCAGACAGTATCAGTACTACAGTTAGGGTATAGTTTGTACAGAACTGAACTCATACCACTGCCATAGTGGTATAAGGGTAGTTCTTTATAGATTTCAGTACGAACTAACTAATAAAGAACAAAGGATATGAAAGGATACAGAGTATCCTTTCACATGCACACTTTTCCGGCTAGTCCCCGGAAGGGGATTAGTCTCTACACGGTGACACAAAGATACCAAATATATACCAAAAGCACTATATACAAATTATTTTGGTACTAATAGTATATCATTGGCATTATATACACATTATTTTGGTATCGGAGATATACCAATAATGCTTTATATAAATTATTTTGGTATTAATAGTATACTATTAATATTATATACAAATTATTTTGGTATCGGAGATATGCCAATAGCGCTTTATACAAATTATTTTAGTATTAATAGTATGCTATTGGTATTATATACAAATTATTTTGATATTAGTAATATGCCATTAGTACTTTATACAAGTTATTTTGGCATTACTTTAGCATTACTTAGTGTAAAAGAGTGAAGGTAGGTGTGAAATCATAGGAAGTAGTAGTAGTAGTAGTAGTAGTATTATTTTACATCAGGAGGGCAGCTTATGACTGTCCTCAGAACCTCCCTAAAGATATGCAAATATTCTAAGCTATGGTTTTACAATACATGAAATGAAAGTGCCTTAGAAAGAAAAGTGAAAGTCTTACAGCTATTCCTGGTAATTGTGTGTTACCTTCCAATTTGTACATTCTTTTCTCTACCGGTTGAGGTGATCCTGCTGTTTTGCCTATTGTAGGTGGTTGTGCCTGAGTTGTGGGCTTGCCGTCACATAAGCTGGGCGATTCAGTAAATTACTTTTAGTATAGCGATTTAGAATATTTGGTATGCTCCGGGGAGTGTTCGCAGATGTGCTTTCGTATATCTTGTTGATATTCAACCAGTTTCTTACATCTGTTGATAGTATTGTTTCTCTGTATACACTTTGCAAAAGGAGTTTGTAACTTCGTTTATATTGTACGTTATAAGTCGATCCTGGTAGTGGATATGGCTTATCGCAGGTTTTGAGGCTTTGTTTGTGGTTTGCAGGCTTGTAGCCCTCTACCTGGGGCATATGTTTTCGTAGAACTTCGTTAGTTTTAGTAACTCGGCGAAGTCCATGAGATTGTTTAGGATCTTGCAGAGATAGTAAATTCCTTTTGCATTTGTTGCTGGTGGTGTGTAGGGCTTGTTTGGCCATTGTTCGAATATGCTTTTTGCCTTCCGGTAGTGGACCAGATGGGCTAAGGTTTTGGATCTTCCACAGAAGCATTCTATATCCCCCGCATATTTGAATTTCCTGTGATACCATCCAAAGTCTCTATATGAGGTTCGGATAGCTATCAGTCTTTGTAGGATTACTTGTGGAAATAGGAGTTCTGGCGATAGTTTGACTTTATATACCAGATCCCATTGTTTGTACCACAGCGAAAGAACTGGTTCGCAAGAGATCTATTATTGTTAACAGGCGTCTTCTTTGAGGTTGTGTGTAATTGATCGAATTCTATTGTAGATGGATTGCGAAGCTGGTCCAGTGTTCCAATTGAGTTTCTTGGCGCCGAGGTTAGCGAGGTGGTCGGTTACCTCATTTCCCTCGATGTTTTTATGCCCCGATAATCACTTGATACGAATATCATTGTTTTTTATGGTTTTGTAGCAGTTGTTAAACATTCATTGTGATGATATAGAGACATTGGCCTTTATGCTTTAGATAACCGAGGTATTATCGATACACATCCAGATTTTCTGGTTGATATATCTGGTATCCTTGAGAATGTGTTCCAGGCCTTTTTATGTTCCAATAGTTTTTATATCGAAGATATAGGATTAGATATTAATAGAACTAGAGCCTGCCAATATCTGGTTTTTGTCTAAATATATTATATATCTATAATCCATAATATATTTTCTTTTTATATAATTTTCCGATTTATTTGAAAAGATAATAATATCTGTGTCTAACAGGTTCTCTCATTAGGTATTAAAGGCTTTAACAGTTGTTTTCTTATCAATCCTTTTTATTGGATTTATTCGGTAGTCAGATATATATCATGGTAATTCGAGTGTAAATCTTGGGATTGGGGGAATAAGGAAACCAAATTATTGGATTTTGATCTTCACTTTTTATCTTTTACCTATATCCCGTCTTTTGATAATCATAAAGGGTTCAATTCTTTTTGTGAATAAATAAGTTGTATTTATACTTTGGAGGTGTAAAGCAAACCTTAATTTAGTTTCCTTAAGAATTACTATAGTTAAAGAGAGATCTATTTTATGGTAAAGGGCAGTTACCAGTGTAGTTTTCCAGATCAATATAACTCCTTATATTATTATTATAAGGATCTTTTCAATTTATATTACATACCAGCTGAGATAGATGTTAATTTTTGTTTATCCTGATTTTAATCTTTGTATAGTTTTGAATCTATCTCTATATCAGATTTCAATCTTATATAAAAGTAAGGGAAATATATATATAATTATTATTTTGTATATAAAGTATATTAGGAAACCTTATATAACTTTAACTAGGCCTTGTATATGCTTTATTATTGCCTTAGTTTTACTTATATATTCAATGATATGTTTCTGAAAGTTCAGTTTTCTATCAAATTATACTCCTAGCTATCTCAATACTGGACAAATGTTTGTTTTTATGATTATTATTGGGTATATTGTGAGTTTTTCATTTACTTTGATAGTAGATACTATATTGCTATTATTTATAAAGATATAAATCATTTCCAGTTTTTCTAGAATGAAAACAATACAATTATTCGTTTTCCATTTTATAATATTTTATATATCTATAATAAGGTATTTGATATTTTTCTTTAGGGTTTTAGATACTTTATATAAGCATATATTATTTATATATCTAAACCTGAAAGAAATATCTTTTGAAAATAACTTTATTAGATATAATACATATAGAACTAATAATAAAAGAAAGCTTTAAAGAATTTCACAGATTATTAGGTATTCTCTGATTATAGTTTGCTTTAGTTATACTCTGACTTTCCTTTCTATCAAAAAGGAATCAATTAGCAGGAATAAATCCTTAGGCCAACCTTATTTCATTATTTTAATAAGAAGTCGTCTTTTGAGCAATGTATCGAAGGTGCCTTGCATGTCCATGGTAATTATAATCATTTTCTTCCCGGCAACTAATATTATTTCCATATTATATATAAAGAATGCTACTAGGTTTATTGTAAAGCATTTGGGCAGGGCTCTGTTGTGTTGGAGATTGATAATATTATGCTTTAGGATTATTCAACCTAATTGTTTAGCAATTATTCTTTCCAGGCCTTTTCTTATACAAAAGAGCAAAGCAATGGATCTTTATAACCTTACAGATACTATATCCTTTTTCCCGATTTTGGATAATATAGCCATTTCAGTTAATTTCCAGATTTTCGGGAAATAACTATATTCAAGGCATTTCTGGTAAAGCTGTCTTAATAGGTCTTTAAAATAATCCTAATAGATCTTAAGGATTTTGACTGTGATTTAATTAGTTTCTGGGGATATACTAAATATTCTAATAATACTTGTTTCGATTTCTTTTAGTGTAAATTGGGAGTTCTAAAGTAAATGTCTATTTCCTTTCTATTAATTTCCTAATAGATTATATTCCAGATTATCTTTTATATTTAAATAGTCCAGGATCTTTATTCTAAATATTTCGGTTTTTTCTATTACATTTTCTATCATTACTCCATTTGAGGTGATTAGGGGATTATTGAGGTTTGGGGCAAACTTGTGCCAATTGACTATTTTGTATAGGTTCTTATCACTAAAAATATCATTTATAATATATCTCTAATAATTGTATTTAGTCATTTTGATTATTGTTTTGAATTCCTTTGTTATTATAATAAAAGGGTTCCTTAATATAACTTGTTTACTTAGATATTCAATATAAACCTTTTTGTATTCCACCGTTTACCAGAATGTTACCTTGCCT